GACTATTTTTTCTTGGTCTTAAGCTTTTATGCAGCTATGGTATCATTGTCACCTCTAACAAAATGAATGACAGTTCTTTCATGTTGTCTAATACAAGTCCATATGCGAATTTTCCTTTTGTATCGAAAACTATCTTTTTATAGTCGGGCTCGTTTTGAATGGGGATCCAAACGTGGACCCACGTGTTAACATTCGTTTATGTCTTTTACATTTCTCACTCTAGAACAGCACCGTTTCCCACTCCACCCCACCAGACCCCCTCCCCCACTTACTTTTCATGTCCCTGATTTCCTGAAGAAACAGGTCCCTGGGCCCTGGGAATTTTCCAGGACAATTCTGGCTTTGACCGGTGCTTCCTCATACAATTAATTTGTTCTTCAATATGCCGTGTCTTATGGGGTAGACTAGAAATTGGCAGTTTTGAGGAGGGGGACTGCCGCGCCTTTTGTACTTCTTGACTTCAGGGAGGCACAGAGTCCTTGCCTGTCTCTGTTTTGACGATGCTCAGTATGACCAGTGAGTCCAGGTGGTGCTGTTCTGATCCCTTCGTTGTAACGTTCCCTATACTTCGTGTAATTATTTTAGTATCCATTAATAACTGCTCCTTGAGTCAGTCATTTTATTAGGAGTTGCGTAAGGATGTTTTTGTAATTTTATTATTTCTTTCTCAGTTGTTAGCTGGAGTTCTGTGTAAAGTATCTTTTCCTCTTTGATGAGGGCTATTTGGTTACCTTGAAATATAGTTTATGTTGGAAAATGGGATATATACTTAATTTGTTTCCCTTAGTTAACAGTATTTGCAGTAGTGAGTTGTTGCCCAAACAATCTCAAGTAGTGTGTTAAGATTTTCTGTTTTTTATTTTTTTAATGTTTGTTTATTTTTGAGTGGGGGGGGAGAGACAGTGTGAGCGGGGGAAGGGCAGAGAGAGAGAGGGAGAGAGGTTGGGGGAGACACAGAACGTGAAGCAGGCTCCGGGCTCTGAGCTGTCAGCACAGAACCCGACACGGGGCTCAAACTCACAAACCGTGAGATGATGACTTGAGCTGAAGTCAGATGCTCAGCCTACTGAGCCACCCAGGCGCCCCACGATTTTCTGTTATTTTAAAAAATTGTGGTAAAACACACATAGCCTAAAGTTTACCATCTTCACCCTTTTCTAAGTGTGCAGTTCCGTAGCATTAAGTACATTCACACTGTTGTGCAATCAATTTCCAGAACTTTTTTCATCTTGCAAAACTGAAACTCTATACCCATGAAACAACTCCACCTTCCCCCCTCCCACCTGCCCCTTGCAACCACCCTTCTATTTTCTGTTTCTATGAATTCAACTACTCTGTCCCTCGTACAAATGGAATCACACAGTACTGGTTTTGTCAGTTACCCAACTGACTTACTGCGCTTAGCATGGTGTCCTCAAGGCTTGGCTGTATTGTAGCACGTGACTGCGTTTCCTTCCTTTTTGAGGCTGCCTGGCCCTCCACTGTGTGTTTAGACCACCTCTGTCTCTCCGTTCATCCCCTGACGGCCGCTTGGGCCGCTTCCACCTCTTGGCTATCGGCAAGAACGCGGCCGTGAACATGGTGCACACACATCTTTCGGGGGTCTTGCTTTCCGTTCTTTTGGGTGTGTACACAGAAGTAGAATGGCTAGGGGGCACCTGGGTGGCTCAGTCAGTTGGA